GGGGGGGGGGGGTGTTTGGTCAACACCAGCAATGCCAGAGGCACTGACAAAGAGGGAAAGGCAGAGTCTCGCTGTAGCCGAGGCCAGAGGTCCATAGCGGGCTTACTCATTAACCAGCCGACCGACCGGTTAAACACAATGGATGCCGCTCAGATTTGGTGCGATATGCGTCAAGCTGGATTTGGTGTGAGGCCAATCATTTTCTCCACCGCTGGCCTGGGAGTGTGATGTTGCGAGAGGTGAATTCAGGTCAGTCGGGCGTCAGGGCGCCCACGCATGCAGAGAGTCGGGCAAAACGGCTTATCAGAAGCTAGTGATGCAAGATACGGATTTATATTTATCCATGACCAATATCGACCTGCTTCTCATGGCCCATAGCGATAAGATAACCGCCACTTTTTGTATTTTAAAAATAAGTTCATAACATGAGGTTAATGAACACCTGAGGGTAAGACTGAGGTGAGTAAAGATGAAACAACAGCTCTGACTCGTCTAAAACATTTTTTCTAGTAAAGTACATAAAAATGTTTTTTTTTTTTAAACTTGTTCCTGTTCTTCTTCCTTCTGTTTATTGGCAGAACTCTAACCGACTTTAAAAGGTGCATACCATCACATACTGTGCATCGCAACCAATAGCTCATAATAGAAGTGTGTATGGTGGCAGTAAAGCGTGGGGGTATGAACAGATTATGTGATACCTGATTGTGCCATTCTCAAACCATATCTTTATGTCTTTAGTCTAACTCTTATTTACCTCTTTCCTTCAATTCCTTTGCTGGTTGAGTTACCACTAAAACAAATACCAGGGATGCAATGAGTAGAAAATGCAGAGAGCTTATCTTTCTGCTTTCTGATTGTCAACCATCTTTGGACAGCACAGCACACACAACTCTCTATGGATGGCTTAGAATGATAAAAGGTAAACAGTCTGGGAGAACAAGCCTTCGTTTTTTTTTTTTTTTTGTGGTGCATAAACGCGTCCATTTGACAAGTCTATCCAACAATAAATTAAGCATCTGGCACTTATGGTAATGCCGGTGTAAGGTTGTCAAAGAGACAGAATACAAAGGAGTCGGAGAGAGGACCAAGAATACAAATTAGGGAGACAAATGGAGGGCAGCGCCGCAGTAGAAGCTGTTGCTACTGAAAGACACAGAGGGCGGGAATTCAATCTTCTAAAAAGGCTCAAACATTTCAGAAACTCTCCTGTGATTGGAATCCCGTTAGGAATACACACACACACCCCCCAAAAGCAGGCAAACACGGCAAGCATGCAAACACAGCAAGCATGCAAATACACACGCACACACACACACACACACACACACACACACACACACACACACACACAAGTCTTTTCAGACGGTAGCTGAATTGTAATTCGTCCTCGTGAACGCAATATACCATCTTGCATCCAAAAAGAAGAGACATGTATTATCAGTGCGTAAATACATCCTTTAAACCTCATCTTAATGCCAGTGGATTGTTTGTTATTCAGTCTTGTCAATTTTACATAAAGAAATCTTTTTCAAAGTGTCTTTCAAGAAGCCACAAAAATGTTATTTGAAAAAGATATCCTAAGAAAGACTGTAAATTTACTGAAAATAAATAAATATATATGTATTTTTTGGATAGATGAGAAAGTCGTCAGTGCTGTCACAAGACCGAACATGTAGAGATACACACAAAACATCCTCACAGGACGCCGACGGGGAAAATAAATACATTTTACATCAGGGCCAAGTACAATTCAAGAAGTGACTGTGCTAACTTCACCACAGCCATGCCAGCACATTTCTGCAATACACTGAGTCATCTTCTTTTCAATGAAAATTTCTACTGAATTGCACTGCTTGAAGTAGTGCGACACCAATGATGAGTCACATGTGCACAGGAGTGCAGAAGCATGTGTGGGTTTGTTTTTTTCTAAGCTTCCTGGTGCTTGTGGTACAACATTGGCTCAATGTAACCTGTGGGATTTGTAGTGTGTGATAACATTTTGTCCAACTCATGTCCCAGACCGCAGCCTTCAGACGACTGTGGTGGGAATTACCCAGAGTAAATAATTCGAATAAGCGTAAATTGTCAAATGCTAATTGCCGTGGCTCCCCGGAGCAATTCTGTCTTCGCAGTTAATGCAACATTCCTGAAACTGGCTTATTACTGCAGAAGGTGGGAGTTTTGCACAGGCCGTACAGTGCGGTCCACAGACACCGTGGGGACAAGCAGGGCAGCTGTAACACTCGGTGAGTACAGTGGACTTCCTTCAGCCCGCCAAACCTGAATGCTGACTGTGAGAGACAAAGAGAGAGCTTCATACTGATAAGTCTCGCTCCTCCCGCGCACTCTTCTCTCTCTCAATACAGACGCTCCAATGTCATGTGGCTATTTGTGATCAGCACAGGGGTTATCGGCAGTCTGAGCCGTGCCCTGCATCATCTCTGATTCTCTCACACACACACACCCACACACACACAGTGTTTGTAAAACGAAATGTGGGCCAGACCATTGTGTGTCTCTTGAAGAAAGAGTCATTGTTGCGCAGCACTTTAACCCCCGGCTCCCTTCCTTCCTTACTTCCTGCCTTCTCTCTCTCTCTCTCTCTATGTCATTCTCCCCTTGTCGTCAACGACTTGTCGCGGTTATGCTGACGCGCTGCTGTTGGTGCTACTTCCCATTGGTTTGCTGAAATTCGAGCGCACGCCGTCTTGCAACCCTGTTATGAAGAAAAAGCTATGAATCAGTTGTGACAAAGTGTCATTTTGAGTTAACGCGGGGTGAGGCGACGTCTCAGTCTGCCCTCACAACAGCTACTACTTGTATTACACCCTGGTACCGCATGCATAACCAACGTGGTTAGGGGTGGAACTGTGTCAAACAGCCTTTCAAACGTAACACAAATGCAATTGCCATCCAGTTAGGATAAATTACTTTGACACTTTGATGAATACCATCCACACAGCACTGGTGATGGAAACCCCATCTGCTGCCATTAAAAGCAGGATTAAACACAACAATTATTATCTTGCAGCTTGTGTTTGACCCGAAGCCCGAGTTTGCCATATGGTACATACTATTGACCGTCTCCTTGTCTCACATCAGATCAATTTACACCCTGCCATCGATTCTATTGGCCGCTGGTCTTCCTGAATGTCTTTAAATATCAGCTTAAATGCTCTGCGAGCAGGAAACCTGTTTACCGCTTACACAAGCCAACCTGACACTTTATGTCTCCAAGCAGTTGGAACATCAGAAAACAAATTCATTGAGCTTTTCTGTACAGAGAAAGATAATAAAGTAAATACCAATGAATATTAGAACTGTCATAATGATGATGACAGCATAATTAACTGCATCATTAAAACAGCAACAGTGAAAAATGGATTTTTATGGGTTGATTTTTAATAATGCATTGATTTAAATCCTGGATTGGAACAAAATTCAAAGCTATTGTGCAAGCCAGACATGACAACTAATCAACTGGACAGTAGGTTGGCCTCCTCTAACTGGAGTTATGTGCTGAAATATGGCACAGTAAGTGAAAACCGTGAATACAGAGTTAAATGTATTTCGTATTTCGAGTTTGAAGCTAAGCACTGATCCTGAAGACGCATCAGAAGCAGCTTCACATGGATATCACACCAAACGGATGTCCAGAGGCAGAGTGCTTTATTTTGTAAGCATCAAACCTTAATAAATCAGACCTACTGTATGTGGCGACTGCATGACATTATGCACAGTGGTTATGAGTCTTTTAATGTAAATTTTCTTTGAGCAATTCCAAATATCTGTCTCTAGGGTGAGATGTGAAATTAACGTGACCTAAATATCACTAGATGTCTAAAGTATTACTGCCATTTGCCCTGAGAAAATTGGGAGAGAAACTGCATTGGAAATAAGTCAGATCATCTCATCATTTTAATGCACAGCTAACATGCATTACAATATGAGATTTTTAAAAATAAATTTAAAAAAAAGAGTTAAAAAACGGTTGAAACTAAAAATGTTTGCAGCTCATCTCCACGCCCCCAGCTCAAGCTATGGCTTCGACATCAGTCGCAGCATTGCTATAAAAACAGTGTACTCACACTCTTTCATCATGCCGATGTCAACACAGCGCTTGAGACGACAGGCCTGGCAGTGACGCCGGTTGTCCTTGGTGATGGTGCAGGTCCCGTTGAATGGACAGGTGAAGGCGGCTTTGCGCTTCATACTGCGCCTATAGGAGAGCAAATCCATCGTTTATTCCCTGTGGGGGTTCAAACGTTCCACTGCGCATTGATGATAAGACAACTTTCCAACATATGTATTGTAGAACCCCCAAAAACTAACTGCTAAACTAAACTGAAATAAGCACCTTTGAAGGAATATTTCATATACGGTGCCATAAGATGTAGGAACCGAGTGCATATACTTTACCAGCTCTTTTCATTCATAAAAAAAACAAATGACGACCTTCAGCTGGTAGGATTTAGATGAATAACAATACCTCATTATTGAATCATATTTAGAATCCTTAATCTATGAAAAAAAAAGCATGTTGTGTGTGTGTGTGAGTGAATGTGAGAGAGCGAGCGAGCCAGAGAGAGAGAGCGAGAGAGAGAGAGAGAGAGAGAGAAAAAACAGAGTGAACGCCACTGAATAATGTACATTGTTTATGCAGCCAGACATAAAAATAACACAGCGTACCATAACATCAGACACTGTATAGTGACTTTAGAACCTCCACATGGAAAAGGCAGCGAATACCACCTCACAACAGAGAGAAACACACACACACACACACACACACTTGCTATAACGTCATCATCAAAACACACTTAAAAACTCACACGACAACATGAACACACGATTCTCAACGGGGGGGGGCACGCACCTGAAGAAACCCTTGCAGCCCTCGCACGTCATGGCGTTGAAGTGGAAGCCGGTGGCCTTGTCACCGCACACGCCGCAGATCCGCGGGGCGTTGCGGTCGAACTCATCCGGTCCGACGAGCGACGTCGTCACCGTCATGGGCTCCATCACTGCAGAGGACGGAACAAAACAAAAAAAGAGGGGAAAAAGGGATTAGAGGCCCGTATGACACCGCTCGCCTGCTTCTTGTACACGAGAGAAACACTTAAAACACAAAAAGATATGCGTATATTAAAAAGAAAAAAGAGGGTGAGGAACGTGTACGTGTGCGTCCGTAAGTTTCACCAACCTCGCCCCAAAAAGCTTCAAAATCAGGTTTTGGTCCTCTGCTCGTGTGTTGTGTGGGAGTGTTTGATGTGGAGGTGTGTGTTTTCCTCTTCTTATACAAACAGGTGTTAGGCTATTAGCATATTCAGCAAACGGCATTGACAGCTGCGCTCGGACTCTCGCAAGCTATTGGCTGAGTGACTCAGTAGACACACACACACTCACACACACACACACACGCATATACACAAAATATTAACACTCATGATGAAGTCAATGTTAATGGGAAAGAGAATTAATGACAGAAAGAAGGGGCTATTTGCCAAAGGCTAAGAAATGACTGATACATTCAATACTGCCAAGATGAAAAGTGCTCATTTTACCACACTCACGCCATCTGGCCGTCCCCTATGAAATAAACAGCAGTGGAGTAACACACACCGACGGGCACAACTATGAGCAAACTAATCCAGATCAATCTGTACAGACAGATCCTCTGTTTGTCTGATTGGAGTGATGAGGATACTTTAAGGAGGAGAGGAACACTGCATATTATTGTAGGTTTGATCGGTGGGTTCGAGTGTCGGCCCGTGCAGAGTGTGTTTAATATGGTCTCACAGGACTGTCACTTATATCTTCATGCATATGCTGATGTGACCTCATGAATGCGTTTCAGTGGAACTGACCGAACCGCATAGACCCTTTGCAAGAAAAGACAGAAAAATACAGTTTGTTCATCAAGTTGTAGTGGCCTAATGTTTTTGAATACACTATTTAGTTATTTACACACTATATTCTATCTATCTGCTCAGGATTATTCGGTGGTTAATAGTGATCCAGACAGGACACGATGGGTGGTGGGTATCATTTGCACCATTCGGCACTCCCAAGGCTCACTATTTGTTTTCTTACATTTTACTGAATAAAGCTAATGAAGGAACACTACACAGCAGGTGACCAGGTACTTTTCAAGGTTCAAGGTCCATTTATTGTTGTTCTACAACATGGGGTTGCACAAGTTTATGTATTTTTATGCAGCAGAAGAAAAAAAAGGGGAAAAAAAACAATGATTTTTCATGACGGGGTATGGAGGACGAGTTGAGGAGACGGCCAGAGGAAAGAAGCTAATCGGTAGTCTTGATTTAAAAAACAATAAATTAAATGGCTCCTTTAATTTCCTGATATGATGTCATTTCTGTTCAAACGGGTTTTTATTGCAGGATAACCAAAAACATGAGAGCGAGAGTAACGCTGGTTGTTTTGCATTAAAAATGAGTGACGGCTTTGTTGGTTTGGTTTTATGATCACTAGCACAGGATGAGGTTACAATTAAAAATCCACAGTTTTCTACAACATGAAGAATAAGAATGAGGTCATTTCATTGTGTATTTAAGGGTTTACATTTAGACTTCAGTTCAATTGATCTTTTCTGACTCCTGCAACACCAGCGAACAGTAAACACAATGTTATAACATCTGAAATGACCTGAATGGTTATTAGTGTAAAAGAAGGAGGGGAAAGTCAAAACAAAAACAAACAAAAACTGTCAAAAACACAAATGAAAAGACAAAATACAACAAAGAGATGAAACTGTCCAATACAACAAACATATGGTTAGTAGGCATTTGGTGTTGTTAAGCTTAAGCAGAGAGACCTGCGCCTGTCGACAAACACTACGGAGACGTCCTATGTGTGAGAGAGGGAGAGGTCATGTGAGGGGAAGACAAGGAAATGAGGACAAAGAGGGGAGGGGGGCACATGCGATGAACTTAGGCCCAGCGTGGAAGCACAGTCACGTGGTGGCTGCAGAATATAGCCTGTGGGGAGTTGTCGTGCGTAGAAGCAGGACTCGGGTAGTGTCAGACGAGGACAAGAGATAGGAGAAATGGGCCCGGCGGAGCGACGGATAAAGGGAAGGGGGGGTGTAACAGGACAGGTGAGGTGAAGGATGGAGACAAACATAGTCAGACTCCATTAGCTCTCATTACATCTTGGCTAGGTGAAGCTTCAGCGCCGGTTCCCGGGAAAACAAGAGCACACGGAGCCAGGAGCTGCTGGCTGTGAGGCCATCGGTCTCATTACCCAGAACGCACCACACGCGGGAAAGCAGGACACGCTCTAACGCGCACACACACAGGTGGAGTATCACTTCATGCACGATGAGCCTCTTTGCCAGGTTTGTGTGTACCTATGCGTGTGTATGTGTGGCTCACATGCAAGCATGGGGGCGTATGTTTATGAGTGATACAGTGTGCGTTGGGGTGGGAGGAGAAGCACCTCGACGGGCACAACAACAAGACACACACCATTAGTCATCATGTCACAAAAACAGCTGTGTGTTATTTTTTTCGGATGCAGCAACAGGTGAATAATGAAAAAGTTGGAGAGGGTGAAATGGAGAGACGACGTGTCAAAACACCTGAACAGATCGGCAAAAACAAGCCCAGAAAACAAGCCGCCGTTTCATTAGCGGTGCCGGTTAACAACAGCATGAGTGGGATCCAGGTCTGTAATTAACGACCCCAGTGTTATTTCTCCTTCAATAACCTCTCTATCACATTGTTTTTATCCTTTCTCTCGCTTGTTTGTCATTTGTAACGCTGTTTTGATAATGAGCATCTTTAATTATGTACAGTCAGCATGATTCGTTGGTAAAGAGGGGGCAGGCGTGTCTCTCTCTCTACCACTTTAACAATCCTCGCTCTGTTTTTTCTATATGTCTGCCAATCTACCGATATCTACTCTGAGGGAACAAATTCATTAGTTCTTCATCATACTTTTCTCTCTTTAACCTCCTAAGAGGCAGCACTCAGGTACGGAAATATGGTGTATTAGTATGATCATTACAGAGAGGTGTGTCCTGGTTTATAATGCATCTGTCATATACTTTTGATTAGTTTGGTTTCATTATTTGGCAATATTGTAGCGCAACGGTCACCTCTAAATATTTCATAGGAGATGAGGAGATTCATTTATGCGAGCGTTGACTAGAGATGTCCCGAGAGCTCCTGTTATCGGAGCTGCTCTCACTAAACCCAGATTGTGCCGTTTATTTACATTAGTTTACTCAATTTTCATGCTTATTTGGATGTTTCGGTATCATTTAATATGACGTCCATGCCATCAAAACAAATTGAATTGGGTCGGGAGGCAACGTTGCCAGACAAAAACAGACCTCAGCCGTGCATAACGGATTCTTCATGGATCCATTCTCATTAAAAGTGCATGTGTCGACACTGGGGAACTGATTTATCAAACGTGTTGCACAGCTAGGCTCAGATCATCTGTGGAGGACAAGATATACCGTAAGCACATACGCACAAAACTAATTATGGTTACGAGTTGATCTGTAACACCGAATCATTTTAAATCACACCCTTTGCTTGTTAATGCAAGTAAGTATTGTTTTATTCTAGTCATGTTTACCCTTAAACGGGACAGTTCAGTTGTTTTGAAGAGGGGTCTTATGGGCTACTTATCCACAGTCGGTGTATTACCTTCAGTAGATGGCTGTCGGTGCGCCCCCACTTTGGAGAAGCAGGCAGGAGTACCAGCACGGGAGCAAAGCAATGTAGTGCTGTGGATGGGGGCAGCAGCAAAACGTAATTTAGCCACCTAGAGAAAAAATAAAAAATAAAATAAAAATCAATATCAGTTTAAGTGTACACTATGTTTATAATATTTTCACTGCTTTACCCTTCCATAAGGCAGCCCTTTTTACGATTGTGGAACTGAAGCCGTTTTATCCATCTATGTTCTCCTCAAAGTCACAGGACTCCATTGCTCAACAAGGCAATGGCCAGTTTACTGCGGCCTCGGTCACTTAGTTTGTTGGTTGTCATTGTCATGACACAACAACTAATCGATTGAGGCCGCGGTAAACCAGCAACTCCCGTATCTGCGGCATAACATAACTTTTTCTGTCAAAGGAGAGTAGTGGCTTTGAATGTTTTTCAGTTCCCTTCAGAAAGGGATGCCTGATGGCAACATTCTATTTTGGTGATAATATCCTATTTTAATATTCAAATATTCTTATACAGCGTACACTTAAACCGCGATTGATGTTAAGTCCACTGCTTTGCTCCCGTGCTGGTACTCCTGTCTCTCCGGGGGGGTGCCGACCGCCATCTATTGTAAGTAATATACTGACTTGAAGTGGAATTTTATGAGGTACTTATCGATATTCAAACACCCAAACAATCCCTTTAAGCATCTTGTTTTATTATCTGGTTAATGCACTGTGAGAATTGAACAAGGACTCTATGCCTTAGTGTTGCATTTGCATTGCAGGATATCGAGTGTGTTGTTTTTTGGGTCCCTACATGACAGAAGAGCCCCTCCATGACTCCCTGGGGTCATGGTTAGTCAGCTGACTGTCACGGGGTGGTTTGTTTTCAATATAGATGTGGAGCTGTGTCATTGTTGTTGTTGTTGTCGAGCTAGCCCTCCACTGTTCACCTCGTATCCCCCGTTACAGCCTTGTGCTCCCATCGCTCACTGCCCCTACAGTCCTTGCTGGTGTTGACACAATAACAAAATCCAATGCTGTGTCAATAGTGTTGCGAAAGACTGAACACCGAGAACAGACTGTTGCAAACTGTCAAGAGTTTTACCAACTCTGTCTAAATGAAACGCACAAGATGAATGCTCCCTTCAAAGTGGTGTCCTGAGGGTGTGTCTGTGCACACTGGTACAAGAGAGTAGAATGGAACAGTCTGGATCTTAGACCTGTAGTACAACATTTGGAATCAACTAACTGAAACCATAACAAAGGCATTAAACACTCCTCATTTTTAGTCCTAAAAGACATCAGCTCAGGAGCATCAGTTTGAACTTTAACAGAGCCAGAGAGTCCATTTTATTTATTGTTTTGGTTGTGTGGTTCCATTTCATTATGTTTTATCAAAGATATTTAAATATTTCTTTTGACATTCTAATATATTCTTAAAGGGTGTATTGAATTATTATGCTTTTACATTATCATTATACCAGTGCCATGAAATGGTCTTAAAATTACAATAATATCATTTATCGCAACTATTTCTAGGTCAATAAAGCATCCATTGAAAGCCTCGTGCCCATGTCAAATGCAGTCCCTGCATCGTTGCCAATCCTCCCATCCCAAATATCTCCGTTTCATCTCTCCTCCTCTCTTCTCTTTCCATTTCCCTTTGCCGTTCCTCTCTCCCTCCCTTTTTCACTAATCTCACTCTCCATCCTCTTTAGCTGTAAACACATTTTGTCCATGTTGCTTCTGAGAGCTATGCAGAGTCGGCTACAAGTGCCATCCAATGTCAACAGATGAAACATTTAGTGAGAGGGATAATCAGGCCGGATTACAGCAGAGCCCGCTCTGTCTGTTTTTTCGCTGATGCTGATGTTATTTCCCCTCGCCCAAGCAGCGAGCAGCGCGACAGCCGAGTGCCATTTCATCGTGTTAAAATTCATGAACCCCCTCATAGGATGTAAACACTGGGTCCCGTGAGGCGAGACCAGTAGAGACCCCATCACCACGCAGAGTGCCAAAGAAACATTCACTGAAGGACGGTTGGCATTACCGACGGAGGGAGAATAGTTTGTTTTTGTTTCCACACAAATGAGTATGTAATTCAGAAAATGCATCAAACATACAGCCAGGCCTGTTCAGCAGTGCACTCTCAAACACAATTACAGCCATTACACAGTAGGACCAGCCTGTAATGGCCAATACAATGCTCCGGTACACCTGTAAAGTTTATTGATGGGACGCATCGTAAAAACATGTTTTTTTGGGGGTTCGTCAATGAATCATGCAACGCATCATATACTTGAAAACTGAATAAGATCTCCACTTTCCCACTTCACATTAATGACAATAATAAAAGGAGGATTTAACTTTGCTTTCAGTGCCTGGAAAACTGCAAATAATGGTCAACAAGCACGAGATTACAAAAGTCAAAGTTATGAGGTGGAAAAAAACACACCAAATATCTACAACAGTGCATGAGAACGTTGATAATTAAAGAGATAAAAAAGGGAGCATCTTGTTAGCCGAGTGGTTGCAGCACGTTCCATTTAACCGCAACGTCCTTTGTTGCATGTCACACCCCTCGGTCTTTCTCCCCCATTTGTCATCTGTCAAATAAAGGAAACAATGACCCCCTCCTACCTCCTCCCCTCTCTAGTTCCTGCACCCTTGCTCAACCACACTTGACAATCATTTTAATTTCAACCACACACCTGTAAAGTTTCGTGACTGCATCCTGATCGTAGTGCTGGGCGGTATATATCGGTTTTAATTTCCCGTATTATATTCATTTTTCACACACCATCATACCGGTGCATAGATGAAACTACTGCTGTCACTCTTCAACGGGCAGCAAAATATATTGTTCGCCTCTAGGGGCGTTTTGGGCGGAGCTAGTTAATTAGAGTGTATTGAGAGGGAACCCTAATCATGGTTATAACTTCATAACACAACAATCAATAACCCACAACTACCGCTCTTTAACAGGGCAAAACACCACGACACAACAGTTTGTGACACATAAACAATTTGTAACACTAATAATTGTACATTTATAAAATGACACCGCCGAACGGCATGCTGGGTACAGCTCGCTAGCTAGCCCGGTAGCACAACAGTCTGCTAACAGCTGGGAGAGGCTCCGTCGCTACAGTAACGTTACATTAAAGAACAGAACAGAGCGATGCAGGATGAACAAAGACAGACCGGAGATGCACCGATAGAGTCTGTGCCCAAGAGAGGAGCTGTGTCTACTGTTTGGAAGTGTTTTGGTTTTAAAAAATCCGACGTCCAAAAGACTATATATTGCAATGTTTGTCGAGCCACTGTAGTTGCCGCTGGTGGTAATAAGTTACGCCGTCACCTCAGCAGAAAACATGTGTTGGAATACCAAGAGTGTATGCGGTTACGGTCATCGGATTCCAGGCAGACAACCAGTAACGTTAGCGTGAGTGAATCAGTGAAGCCAAAGGGTCAGATATCGCTTGAAGAGGCATTAGCTCGAGGCACTGCATATGACAAGAAAAGCAAGTGGTGGAGCAACATTATGAACGCAATAACGACCCATCTATGAAAGGACATGGTCCCGCTACAGACAGTCGAGAAAGACGGGCTCAGAGCAATGATTAAAACACTGGATTCAAGGTACGTCTTACCGGGGCGACAATACTTCAGCCAAACTGCTATCACAACATTATACGAACAAACGAGCACACCCTATAGTAAGCAAAGCCTTTATACATGATGACATTAACATGTTTTTATATTCTATGTACTCCTGACAGTAGAGTAAGCCAAAGAAATACAGTGATATACCGTGAAACCGCCAGAATCTTAAAAAATACCGTGATACACATTTTTGGTCATACCACCCAGCACTACCTGAACGGTCGCAATGCTATCGCGGTGACAAAATCTGTCCACAGACAGAGACACGGAAATATAAACACCTGGCAAAGTACTCAAACCCACCTCCATGGTAGTCAACATAGACAAATCCCACCACAGGCCGGTTAACAGCAGAGCAGAAAGAGTTGTACCTCCTTCAAAAGCTTCATGTGGCTCTCTTGGGACTTTGTGTCTGCTGCTCTTTTCTCCTTCACCTCCTCTGTGCCTCTTGGGGGCCAGTCAAACTACCGTGCTGCGTTTGTTTGGCTTCCCTCCTCTCGTAAATCTCATGTTCCAGTTTGCAGAACCTACACAGCCCACGAACCGCTAAAAACATCAAGACCGGCTGACTGGGGAGGAGGACGGCGGACTACGTCTTAATAAGAATTAGTATGTGCTCTCCATTGTGCAATAAACTCCAGGTGGGCTGGGACTCCCTGCTCAATTTAACAGAAAGCCTCACACGCACACAGCGTGTGAGGCTTTCTGTTAAATTGAGCGCGAGGTGGACTCAATGTATTGATCAACCCTAGGCAGTATCAAATATCAACACCGCGATTGAGCATTTTGTCAATACAACACTGAGACCGAGCCTGATAATTAACGAGCATCTGGTGGCCTTGACCCCAATGTGCTTGTTTACAGGAAACCACAGGCCGGCAAAACGGATCCTTGTGGATTTTGTTGAGGAGGAAAAAGCGCTGAAGTTGCATTGCTAATTCAAATGCTAAAATAATAAAGAAATGCCCAGCCTAGTGGGATGGTTAAAACGCGCTAAAGCTTCTTTGTCAGTGTCTTTAAACCCTCGTATCTTGAATGCACGGTTGAGCTGGAGCCTTTCCCAGCTTTCAGATCGCATGTTGACAAAGCGGCTAAGTGCTGCTGAAGTGGTTTGAACTTGGCGACAGGGAAGCACAAAAAAAGGTTAAAAAGATCGTCCCTAAACGGAGGACCCCGGTTCACACCACCATACCAGCGAGCGTCAACACTGCCCTGACGTACTACGACCCCTCCCAGCTGTGGAGCTGGTGACCCTGACCTCCGACCTCCCTGTGGAGGAGGCAAGAGACAGGACAATTTCCCC